GACATATTTCTTAGAGCAATCATGCAACTAATTAAGATGAAGAAATACGAGATGACGAAGAATGAAAAGTGGATAGATATTTAAACATTGATAGAGGGTCATGATTTATTTCATTAAATTTGAACATGTTAGCTGCTGTCGATTTTGACAATTCTAAGATATTGGGTTAGAAATTGAGTAAAGTTTCAAAATCACTTGGCTGCATCTGTGTGTCGTTGCCTAAAGCAAAGATATTAAGTCTTGAGTGGAGATTCGTGGCTTTTCGCAATATGTCCGCAGTTCCCCAAGTCCAGCTGTCACATGTGACATCTCTCGATAAAAACGTATCACTCTAGGATCGCGGGTATCACCAGTCAGGGTGTCAGCACTTATAACTGCATTTAAGCCTACTGTCACAATATCGGTAAACACACTATATCATTATTATTACATTTTAAGAGATGCTAGATGTAGATTTGAAACAAAACACATACAAAAAAATATTGTGAACACTGAACAAAAAACTTCTATATCATATTAAAGAAGAAAGAAGTCACAGAAAAACGACACAAAAGTAGAAACTTACACCATTGGTACATACAGTATACCTCTCCCTACTAGATTTATAAAAAGAATTGAAACTGATGGTGAATTTACGAAGTTATTGACGTTTAAAATTCAAATAACACTGAAAAAGGATCCGACTCGATAGAAACACGTCTCGGGGAACGTATAGATCTATATAATTTTTTAAAAATTAATAAAAAATCACAGAAAAACGACACAAATTTGAACCTTGCACAATTTGTACAGTATACCTATCCCTACTTGATTTAAAAAAAAGAATTGAAACTGATGGTGAGTTTACAAGGTTATTGACGTATAAAATTCAAATAACACTGAAAAACGAATCCGACTCGATAGAAACACGTCTTGGAGAACGTCTATATAATGTTTTAAAAATTAATTTAAAATCACAGAAAAACGACACAAATTTGAACCTTGCACAAATAGTACAGTATACCTATCCCTACTAGATTTTGGAAAAAGAAATGAAAGTGATGGTGGCTTTACGAAGTTTTTGGAGTTTAAATTCAAATAACCCTGTAAAAGGAATCCGATTCGATAGAAACACGTCTTGGAGAACGTAGTTCGATAGATTCAAGGTTGTGAACTGAGATCGACCAAAGTTATATCGTCTTGTAGGGGGAAAGCTTGGCTTTAAAATGGTGGGTCATATGGTGATATCACATCTTTAGATCTGGAGATATCGGGGTGGGAATGACACCATAATAATTTGGAGGAAATGCATTACGCTGGCAGGCGGGGGCGCGCCACTGGCGTCACGGTAGTGAGCACAGCTGACCGCGGATTTAATGACCAACACATGGGTGGCACTGCCCGCTGGCACGGAGCAACTAAAGGAGCGGTTTCCGGGCAAGTTGAACAGCCATGCACTCCCTTCCAAAGTCAAAGCTAAAGAAGAATTCCCCCAGCCAACCCCCTACAAAGAATTCCAAGAATTTCTGTGAAACGTCTACCATCGCTTTCTACCTCGACCTGCATCAGTACTACGCCCTCTCTACGAAGCTCTGAAGGGAGAAAAGAAGAAAGCAAAACTTTGCTGGACGGAACAGATGACTACAGCCTTCCAGGCCAGCAAACGCATGCTTGCCGACTGCACTCTCCTCTCGCATCCCAGAACAAACGTTCCCATCGCCTTAACCACCGATGCGTCAGATCACACAGTAGGCGCTGTCTTTGAACAATATGTTGATGAGGCCTGGCAACCTTTAGCATTTTTTAGCAGACAACTTCGAGAGCCAGAACAACGGTACAGTACATATGATCTGGAGTTATTAGGACTCTATCTTGCCATTCATCACTTCTGACTTTTGCTTGAGGGTAGGTGCTTCACAGCAGTCACCAATCTTAAGCCTCTGGTGGACGCCATGTCCAAGTTATCCCCACCCTGGCCAGCTCGCCAGCAACATTACCTGACATTCATCTCAAAATTCACCACAGACATACGGCACATTTCAGGGAAGGAGAACGTTGTTGCAGACTGTTTGTCCCGAGCCATTTTCCAGACCACATTGGGACTGGACTACAAAGCAATGGCTGAAGCCCAGACGACAGCGCCTCTTCTCCAGGATTGTGCGCAGTTTCAATGGCTATCGAATCTGGAGGACCAGAACTGCAGTGTGATATTTCGACCGGACATCCTAGACCAATTGTATCTCCAGCATTTCGTCAACAGTTCTTCGATTTGTTTCACAGCCTCTCCCACCCAGGAAGGAAGGCTACAGTCTACCTGATACCTCAGAGATTTGTTTGATATAGGCTAAGGAAGGAAGTCAGCAAGCGGGCCAAGGAAGGTACGGACTGCCAAGCTTCAAAAGTGCAAAAGCATACCAAGGCACCCATCGAGAAGATTTCAGTGCCTGAAAAGAGGTTCAGTTACGTTCATGTCCATCCTGTAAGTCCTTTACCACCTTCAAAGGGCTTCACTCACCTTTTCACAATCATCGACAGAACGACACGAAGGCCAGAGGCTATCCCACTCAAGGACACCTCAACAACAGAATGTGGCCATGTGCTAATCAACCACTAGATCACCCATTTTGGCATCCCCATCAACATCACATCTGACAGAGGCCCTCAGTTTACTTCTGCCTTGTGGAGGGAAATGGCCGAGCGCCATAGTACAATCTTCATCATTCAACAGCCTATCATCCTCAACCCAATAGACTGATTGAGCGATTCCACCGGTCCCTTAAGAGTGCTCTCAAAGCAAAGACTCCAAAGCCCGAACTGGCTCAATGAACTGGGATGGGTACTGCTCGGTTTGAGACTGCCCCAAAAGAGGACCAGGAAATTTCTGTTGCGAGCTAGTGTATGGAGAACTACTCAGAGTACCGGATAAATTTTTTACCAGTGACACTTCACCATTCGACCAGTCACGCAGCCTCACTAACTTACGATCCAAAATGCAGTCACAACTAGCCAAGGGGACATCACTGCACTGTGCACCTACCTCCAACATCCACTCGTCACTAGACACAGCCAAGTTCCTGTTCATCCGCTGCGATGCTCACCAAAAACCCCTACAGCGCCCGTATACTGGTTCGTACAAGGTTTTAGAAAGGCATGACAAAACCTTTCTTGTCGATCTAAGTGGTCACACGGAACACATCTCTGTCGACCGAATCAAACCAGCGTTCGTGGATCTGTCACAACCAGTACGCGTTGCTCAGACACCAAGACGTGGGCGGCCTCTGTCTTCATCACTTATGAATTCAAGCGCAAATACTAAGAATTAAACCCAACCTACCCAAGCTATTCAATCCGCTCCTGTTACTCTACAGGAACCACAGCAAGCAGGCTGGAAGGTCTCACGTTCAGGACATATCGTGAGACCACCTCCCCGGTTCTAGAACCTCCTGTCATGTCAGAGCTGGTGGAGGGCCATGTAGTGACTCTCCGAACACTCAATTAACTCACAACACAGCAGCTGACATGACCATGACTTCGCATAGACCTGCGAAGTGCTCAGATGAAAACACTGCTTGACCCGACTGTCCTACACTGCCAGTCAGATAGAAAATTCCGGTGAGTAAAGACGTACCTACAGCATGATTAAAATCCTTAAATTACATGATTTGATCTGAAACTAAAAACAAATGTAGACAAATGAGCGGCAGATTCTCCTGTATAATGGTCAGTCTTTTTGCTGTGCACACAATAATTTTTCTTGGAAAAAGTCAAGGGGTCTCGTGTTCTAAAGGTACAGTGTTCACCTCTCATTCAATAGGTCCTGGGTTCTAAACTTGACAGCAAAGAAAAACTTTCTTCACTAAAAAATGTTCTCCTTTCACCTTTTCTGCTCTAATCATGCTCTGTCGCCTGCTTTCATCTAAACTTTCTGCCCCGACCCACTCCTATCTTTGCCCCTTCCTCTGGGCTCCTGACTCTTTCTGCTGCCGTTCTACTGCTACTCCTTGGCTCCTTCTTACTGCTATCTTTCAGCCACACCCCTGATCATAGGGTAAGTAAGATCTAACACCTAGCCTTTTCGAATAAGGACCAAAAAAAACCTCGGAGGTCCCGCGTGCAAACTGCGCATGCTTAAGATCCCTTGGTGGTCCTAAAATAAGGGTAAAATTCAAGATTTAATCTTACCAAGGTGAAAATGCTTAAAGTGTCTTGCGCGCTCAGACAGCTTAATGCAGTAGCGAGCGAGCGCTGTAAAACACTTATCAAAAAAAAAAAAAAAGAGAGAGAACCTACCCCCCCCTCCCCCCCCCGACCTAATATGCACAGCAAGGGGCCACGATGTTCCTTATGCAACAATTCGGATTGCTGTTTTAAATACCACCCTAATTGCTTTATAATTTTCGGTGCTTTCGACCAATCTGGAAGGTTTCAAGGGGACATGCCCCCCTGAGGATTTAAAAAATCTGGGGCAGTTTTAGGGTTCCCATAATTTGATCTCTTGCAATAGCATCAGTGGCAGATCCGTCTGTATAGATCCTTATCCATGCTTCTCGTGGGTATCTTTGTTCAAGCATGGACAGGGTGAGGGATTTCTTGCTCAGGTCGCTGTGGTCATCTTTTGGGGTGAACATAGGAATGGACGTGTGTATATTTATGTTTGTGGTTTTCTTTTCCCACGATGGTGCATCTTGGGTATGGTTCAACATATTTCACATGTGAAATGTAAGGATCTATTTCACCAGAAGTGAAATGCTAAACCAACTCCACGTATGGTATAAATATCAGGACTACAAGTGCAGAAGATGAGATTTTGTTGAGACAGATTCTCTTGACTTCTACTATTTTTTTCAACTTGAATTCCTTAAGGGGAAGAGATTTTCATTGAGTGTTTGCAACTTTCTGCTGTGATGTAGTATCCCAAACTGCATGCAGGGTTGAAAAAGTACATAGTTGAAGAAGTGGATTTAAATTGTGAGTCTGAGGGAATCAGACAATACAATCAATCAAATTTTAGAGGCACTTACCATCAAGTAACAACAAGTCTGGTCTGTGGAGAAAAAGAAAATGTAATTGCAGAGGATAAAACTGACTTTCAAAGAACTGACACTAAATTAAAAAAAACCTCTTTCTGTTATAGAATAAAGTAACATAAAAATGTCTTTGACGATTTTATTGAAGTTCGGTTTGCACACATAAAATAAGGTGTTACAATATCAGAACTTTCAATGCCATTTTTCTTATGAATATTATTGTATTCATCAAATTTCTCGCCAAGCTCCATATGCAGATCTTTCACAGTGTTTAGCGTGTCACAAGTGCACACTTTACCAGATGTCCATATCAGGCCATTCTCTAACAGGAGCAAAGAATACACAACATAAATTTGTAATATATTTGTTTTTAACTTTCTAAATGTAAAAGTACAAAGTACTTTTAGCAAATACATGAAATAAACATCCAACTGTAATACCAAACCTGATATAAAAATACTTTTTAGTTCTTCACAAATGGTGAAAGTCATTATCAACTGTTCAAACAGAGAGAAGACTGGCCATTTTTATCTTTAACATTCTGAAACAGATAGTTATAATGCAACAAGAACTAAAGATGGCCAAAGCAAAATGACAATAGCATAATTCAAACTGAATGTCTCTGGATCCCAACCAGTGCCAAAAGCCAAGGGTAAATTAAAATCTCCATACCCAACAGTCAAACCCACCTTGTGAACAAAGCCCTGGCGAGAGCAAGTCTCATCCTCCAGCCTCCAGAAAACTCTCTGTGAGAAAAGAAAAGACAACATGACAGGAGAAAAAAAACACATCATTGAACATTCTCATTCTGTGACAATGAGACAAGAAAACAAAACACATCAGACCTGCCACTCTAAGAAATCTCAAACTCAGGATCTCAGGGAAAAAAATCAGGATCTGGAGAAAAAAATCAGAATCAATGACAAATGACATGGGGGGGGGGGGGGCGGGCTGTTAAGCTGACTTTAAAATTCTCCTGGGTGTCCATGAATATATGTATATTAGCCCTCTGAGCGTGTGTGTGTGTGTGTGTGTGTGTGTGTGTGTGTGTGTGTGTGTGTGTGTGTGTGTGTGTGTGTGTGTGTTTTGGAAGTAACAGTGGAACTATGAATAATGTCAGAATTGTAATAGTTATCAAGCCATTATAATAGGAGAATTCTGAGGGGAAACAAAAGTGAAAGTAAATCTTGAGAATATCAAAAGACGGAATGCCAAATCGACACTACTTTAACCGTAGTTGAATCAACACTTGCAGGCAAAGATCCAAAACTATTTGGGGTGATCCTGCATCGATATTTGGGAAAATAGTATTCTGAGTTCCTGCTGACAAAGAGTTCAACGGGTGCTTTCAGTGACAGAGAAGATAACAAAAGTGTTTTTTTAAATCTGGCACAACAGACAGAAAAAAAAAAGGATACACTGGATCAAAATCGGGATGCTTGAGAACTGGAGCAAAAAATCAGTATATCCAGATTACATAGGAATGAGTGGCAGGTCTACATCATAAACATTCTCAAGCTGTGAGAATACAACAGGAGAAAAAGATACATCACTAACATTCTCATGCTGTAACAACACAACAAGAAAATAAGACACATCAGTAACATTCTCATTCTGTGACAACATGACAGGAGCACATAACACACCATGAACGTTCTTATTTTGTGGCAATATTATGACAGTAGAACAAAACACATGAACATTCTCATTCTGGGACAGTTTGTCAGAAGAAACAACAATAATATGACAGGGGAAGATTAAACACATTATGAACCATTCAATCTCTATCACCCAATACTAATTTCATAGGTTGCTCACTGCAATGTTCTTTAGCACTAATTGATCAACACTCAGCTAAACTTAGAAACTACTGCTTTTTCTTTCGGCATCCTTACTTTCCTCATTTTTCCTCTACTTCTTTTGTATGTTTGTCACTCTCTTGTGAACTGCTTTTTCCGAGGTGCCTTGATAGTCGAAGCAGACTTTGCGCTGTTGAGATTAGAACGGTGAGCAGAGTAAACCTGATTCCCTGTTTAGACTTCTTTGTTGACATCCACCCCTTGGCGCTCATATGACCGTATGCAACTCTGAGTGCCATAAATCCTTACTAAAACATACAAAACTTAGAAAAATGCAAATTATCAACATAAGTCATTGATACGCTCTGTACAAAACCTCACAAAGAAAATCTCCCTCACACTATGGCCCATTTTGCTACTTATTTAACTCTTTAAACCCCATAGCGTCCATCCGGCGGTAATAACCCTGTTCCCCATCAGACGATACCAGTGACAACTGTTTCATTTCATTTAGTGCTTGTTTTGGCTTGTTTTTCTGAACTATTCGCGAACCAAATTTATTAGTAAAAACTAAGCCTTAGTATCTGCCACTTAGAAGATAGAGGCAAGCTTTTGGGGTTATAATGAGACATACCGCGCCAGATTTAGGCGACCGAAGAAAAAAACCTCAGGGAAACGGTGGACATAACTCAGGGTCTAAAGAGTTAAGAGGCAAACAATCAGATGGTTTCCACATCTCACACGTATGGCACCTAACCGGCTTTCCAGTAAAGCCTACTACAAGAAAGTATCAGGGTACAAGTCAAGAGGAAGACCAAGAAAGACCTGGATCCAGGGTGTGAAGGATACCCTGAGAACATTCAATATCCCACCCAACCAGGCCATCAAACTTGCTAGAGACAGGAACCTCTTTCTCCCCTCGACGCCCTAGAGGTACAGGAGGACGGACGGAAAAAGTAAAGTTAGTTTAAGTAACAATGGAGTACAGTCCAACCTTAGCCTATGTAAGACAGTCAAACACTGTCAAGGAGACAAAGTGGCCCTCTAAGGCTGGTGGCCCTCTTAGGCAGGACTGATGAAAACAGGGTTCCTGCCATGAACTCCCCACCAAATTCAAGGAGACATTTTTTTTAATTCAAGGAGATATGGTCAAGAAATTCATGCCATTTTCGATGGCACACTCGCACCTCGAAAGCGTATTTCTGATAGGCCTACTCTTGTCCGAAAGAAATCGTAGTTTCGATTGTCCGTCAAAAATTCTTTTCATGTCCGATCCGGCGAAATTCAAAGAGTTTTCAAGGAGGTTCCTCAATCAAGGGAGCTTTGAGAATGAAGGAAACAAACCATTCCCTTCTGAGGTCCCAGCCAGACGTGTTATAGGCTTAGGACAGCCATAAGGCTATTTAAAATATGTATTGGGGGGGGGGGGTGTTTGGGGGGAGGGGGGGATTTGATAGAATGGGTTTTTGTTGCTGTTGCTGCTGGGATACATTAACCCCTTGACACTTTATTGTTCCTGACAGATTGGGTTAAAGCACTCATCCTCCAAATTGATCTAAATTGTGTCTGTGGCTATCATAATATTTAAATAAATAATATCAAACGGTACAAACATTTTGTTTTTATTTAAAGAAGTATTGAGGCAGGTATCACAATTTTGTGTGCACTGGGGTGGTGAGATGTTTCAGTGCCTGTAAGTTGTTTTGTTGAAATAAACATTTTTTCAAACTGTTTGTGTTGTGTATGCTTCAAATAAACTAGAAAACCATTAAGATTTGTGAGGCAGCGTGGTAGAATTAGGCTCTTGTCAAAATAATCAAAGTGAAGAAACCTGCATTTTTCCGCAGGTTTGTGAATTTTTATAAAATTTTTGTTTTTTGGCTCAACACCTTTCATGCCCATTAAAGAACTCATTTCTGGGTGGATTTTTCTGAAAAGCGTTGATTAAAGGCACAAAAATGTAAATTTTCAGTTACCACGGACTCTTAAGCTAGGGAAATAACTAATCTTTGGCGGCCATTTTCTCACCAATTTTACCTCTGAAAACAGCTGACCCCCACCTCCTTATTTCGCATATATCTTGACTCATATTCAAGATAAATGGATATTTTTTTTTATCTAAATAAAGACAAGTGAATAAGCTTTAAGATAATACCAATAACTCTATATGCCCAATAATTGACGAGAGCCTGATTCCACTACGCTGCCTCACATTTGTTGTTGTTATTATTATTCATTTTTTATGACTGATCTTAAGACGTCTATCGTCACTTTTCAGAAAGACACCATTTCCTATTTTCTAGGTCTAGTTAGATTTCTCATCTGGATAAGGCCAAAAACTCATATTTCCACAAAAATATTGTGAAGAATTTGGAAAATAGCCATGACGAGTTGTCGCAACAGCAAATCTCAAGCTTATACGAGGGCTGTCCCACGGAAAACCGGAAAAGGTCCATAAAAGCAACAATCTTTGTCCTATTATAATAAAAATGTAACACATCATACCTCAACGTGTGCTTTATTTCTCAATGTAATCACCATCCCGCTGGACGCATTTTTTCCATCGCTGGATCAGGGAGAAGATACCGTCCCTGAAGAATTTTTCGTCAAGGGATTTCAACCAATCTTTCACGGCTTCCACGAGGTCTTCGTCGTCGGTGAATTGCTGTCCAGAAATATGGCGTTTCATTGGTCCAAAAAGGTGATAATCTGACGGGGCCAAGTCAGGACTGTGAGGTGGGTGTGGCATAACTTCCCAGCCGAACCTTTGGATCCAGTCTTTCGTAGCGTTTGCGGTGTGTGGCGTTGCGTTGTCATGCTGCAAAATGATCCCGCTGGACAACCGGCCTGGTCTTTTTCGGCGCACAACCTCTCTTAACATATCAAGAGTCTGGCAGTATCTGTTAGCATTGACAGTTTGTCCTGGTTCCAGAATGTCAAGAAGCAGAACACCCTTAGCATCCCAGAAAACCGTGACCATGAGTTTCTTCACCGATGGCTGAACTCTAAACTTTTTCGGGGGAGGTGAAGACGTGTGCTTCCAAACCATTGAATCCCTCTTCGTCTCAGGGGTCATGTGGTATATCCAAGTCTCATCACCTGTAATAATGCTTCTCAGAAATGCTTCATCGTATTGTTGGAGGTCTCCAGATGCATTCATGACTCCCGTGACAGCTTGGCGACAACGATTCAACAAAGTCTGAGACACTTCAACACGACGCGTCTTGTGGTCAGCTGTCAGCTCTTTTGGGACCCATCGAGCAGAGACCTTTCGATAGTGCAGCTCATCAAACACTATCCTATGGACAGTTGACTTTGAAATGTTTAGCGACTCGGAAATTTCGCGAATTTTTAGGCGCCTGTCTGTTTGAATGAGTTCGTTAACGCGACTCTTGTTGTCCTCAGTCTTGGCAGAAGAACAAGGTCCTGGGTGGACTTTGTCATTGATATCCGTATGCCCGGCTTTGAACTTACTACTCCACTCATATACCTGTGACTTTTCCATTACTTTCTCCCCGTAAACTGACTTTATTTCAGCGTGAATTTCTATAGGTTTGAGACCTTTTGCGGTCAGAAACCGAATGACAGATCTCACTTCTATCCTTGACCAATTTTCCAAGTGGGTAGCCATCTTTGGAGAACTGCTGTGTTCGTTTGGTTTGTGCGATGCTCATGGTGTTCAATCGGGAAATTCCAATATGATTGTTTTACAAGTGTGCGTTTACAGAATGTGAAAATATTGAATAGTTATCAAATTACAGCAAAATTCCGTTTTTTCGTGGGACAGCCCTCGTATGTTCTTAGACCTGGGTTTGGGATTGATTATAGGGCAATACTTTCATCGATTGCACTTGTCGTTCTGAATTAGGGCGCTCTCAAAATGCCATCTAAGCCTACATTTGTACATAAAATCTGTGGAAAACTTGCCCTCATGTGAAACTAACACATTCTGAGCATGTAAGTGGAAAAAAGTTGGTTGTTTAGTCATGGTTTAAGAAATTATGGGCCAATATATCTCATTTGACCCATGTCTTTGCGAGAATCAATCACGATCGACGTTGAACAAAGAAAGTTTTTTCTCTATTACATGACGGAAAACTCTCATTCATTCTTTATTCCCATAATCACGGGGACAGATATTTTGTGTTCACTGCTGGTTTGGACTTCTTCTGTGAACGGTAAGTCCACAATTGGGTTTAAAATGTTGTCTTTCCGAACACGAAGAACATTTTTTGGTCGCAACTGTACCCGGATTCGAACCCGGTACCTTTGAATGAGAGGCAAACACCTTGACCTCTAGGCCACGAAAGCCCCCTTTTAAGTTTACAGGATGTACATTTCGCAAAATAACCTTCCAAATGAAATTTTTCCAACTTTCAGGAGACATAACACAATAATTAGAAGGCAGCCGGTATTTTCATGACATGTCGTGTAAAAAAAATTTACGCGCATTTTCACGACTTATTTTTCTCTTTGGACCAATCAGTAAACAGCTGGGTCATGCCAGAGGTGTATATAAATAATAAATAGACTCTCTGCCCTTTGGCCAGAGACCGTATTTACAGAATGGCAGGTGGGAATTCCCATCCCTTCGAAGTGGGACGAATTTTTAAAGCGTATCGCGAGTTTGAGGAAGAATTTCGGAAGTACTGTGGTACAAAGTATGTTTTCAGCAAAAAATTCTCAAAATCAGTCACGGCCAAGAACAACACAAACAAAGACGAATTGAAACACTACCCAGCGGGAGTGGCAGCACTGTTTGTGTTAATGTCTTTTGAACAAAATACAAAGGTTTATTAAAGCTTTGTGAGAGTTGAAAAAAGGCATTTTTCAGTTGCCGCTATTATTCAATTTGTCATCACATCTCTCACAGAAGGCTACGCAAATCCGTGAACATCAATCCTGACGGTATGATCACCAATCCTATAGATTCTACTATAATTTTCGACCATTTTTTACTCGTTCGATAGTGGAATGCCAAAACCAGAGCACAATTTGACTTATAAACCAAAAAAAAAAATTTTTTTCGGCAGCCTTTATTTTCACGACCGAGCTGTGCAGAGGGACAATGGTCGAGTGCTCACAAATAGGCCTATAACTTACTGCCGAGGTTGAGATTCTAGATCTACCGCCCAAAAAGCAAGAAAACAAGTGTGCCCCCCCTCCTTTTTTCTCCCTGTCTGTCGTCTGTCTGTCTGTCTGTCTGTCTGCCTCTCTCTCTCTCTCTCTCTCTTTTCAAAGATTTCGGGACGTAGATCTAGGCTACGGGTTTCGCAAGGGAATCTTGGAGTTGGAAGCACACTCGGCACCTATCGTATCGCAAATCCGGAGGTTTTGACACCCTGATCGGAATGGCGTTAGAACAAGTCCAAAATCGGAAACAAGATCTAGATCTACCCAAAAAAAATTGCTTAGAAAATCTAGACCTCTGTGGTAAGAGCCGGTAGATCTATGTCTTTGACTTTGATAGGTCGTGAAAATGCGTGTACATTTTTTTTCCACAACATGTCGTGAACCTCTAAATTGGTTATTTTTCAATGGATTTTCATAAAAACCTGTATTCTAGTACATTTTAAATTACTTTTTTTTAAATTTGTGAACCTCCCGCTCAGAATCAACCTAAAACTATCAACATTTGACAATAACTTGGGGAAAAAATGAAGTAAATAAGACAATATTTGAAGAAAATAAGGAACTTAAAAGTATGCAGGGTGTGGAGACATGAAAAGGAGAAAATGGGCTCCGAAGTTGAGCAACATGGTTTCATAGCAATGGGGGTCTTAGAAGAGTTGAGATAGAGACTTGAAATTTGGCAGTTATCCTGGCTAGGCCACTACAAAGTACCACACAGAAGTAGAAAACTATTCATTTGCTGAAAAAAACTTACTGACAAAACAACATTTTAACGAGAATGGACTTCATTTCAAATGCAACAACATGTTAGCATTTTACTAGGTATCTGTAACTAAATTTCCAAAGTAGCTGTATGTCAAATTTATCTCTTCCATATGAAAGGCCTGTGTCTCCTGAGAATTTTGGTATCATACTTTTACCTCTCAGTCAATTTTAAAGAAAATGGCAGCTGTTTTAATTTAATATATAATTATAATATTATAATCGAACATTGCTAAATTCGTTAACTGGCTGCAACCCCATGTTTGAAAGATAATAAAAGAGAAGCAAGGGCACCAAACATCTCCACATTAACAGAGTACAATCACTATAACATAGAAAGGGAGACTAATTTTTTTTAAGACCGTGAGATCAAAACAAATCAGTATTTTATTGTCTCAAAGACGTTTATCTGTCGTTATTTCTATAGGAAAAAATACAGAGCGTTATCCCAGCCGGCGCCGCACCGGCCCCCGCAGCGAGCAAGTCGGCTCTAACTGAAGTTTACAGAGTGCTCCCCGGAGTTTAGTGGAAGGATTGATGCAAAATAATTTCAAGCTGATGACTATTCTAATAGAAAAAAGAACTGTTCTTTCTATTGGTACCTTTTTTGAGCAGGTATTTTACAGAATTCGTGTTCAAAATGATTTTTGAAAACTTTGACGCTTTTTTAAAGGCTTTCTATTTAAACGTCAAAGGCCAAAGATATACCACGAGAAGCCCTGTTCAAAGCTCTATAGTTGTCCGCTAATGAAAAGACGGTATTTAATCTTCACTTTTTCTACTTCAAGGCATTCGAATGCATGAGTGTCAATTTTTTAACAGGCAGACCTCGCATCCCAACCCTGAGGGGCTTTGTTTTCCAAGGCGATTCTCTAGCTCCAAATACTCAAACAAATTGTGCTATTGTAACAAAGGAAAGCTTAACTTTTTCAAGGTGCACAGCTTTTGGTGTGTAAAAGCGAAATAGCAAAGAAACAGCGATCTGAAATATCTTGATTTCACCTAAACCACATGCTCAGAGGCTGGGAGTCGGCTTACGTGCCGGACATATGCTTTTAATTATACGTATGCAATAGCACTATAAACACACGAGCGCACACACACATACACACATACAAGCACGCACAAATACACACTTACACAAAAAAAAAAATACACATAGAAGATCAATTAAGTCTTTTAAAAAACACTAAAACATAACAAAATGAATATTTCAAGTTCATCGAAGTGTAAAACTGAAAGATCAACATCCCATAACTGAGCTAGCAGGGCAAGCCTACACAGTCAGCTGTTAAGGTAAACGATGAGTTACCATTCTTACCCATTTAACCAATCAGAGCCCTCAGCCGTTTATAGTGACACTAAGTTGTTTATATTTCAGACCATTCAAGCTCGAAAAGAGGTCTACACTTAAAAATGGGGGAGAAAGAAGGACATTGAAGCAATGTGGCCATGAGGTAATGGTTGTTGTTGTTGTTAGCGATCCAGTAGCATCTGAGCGTTAACTCTTCTGCATGATGCCATTCGGTAATAGTTGCATGTTTGTTCTAATTGTTGTCTTGAGGAGTAGAGGCAATTAGATGTGTGGGGTAGCTTGGGAAGAAAACATCCCCTTAAATCAGTTAGTTTTCTACAGAAAAACAGATGATGTTCCACTGTCTCTGAGGGGTAGTCACATAGTGGGCAGGCAGCAGACTGCTTTACTCCAATTCGGTTGAGATGTTGGTTGAGGGGTACATGTTGTGTTCTAAGTTGGAAGATTATGGATTGATCTCCCCTCCTCAATTCATTGATTGGATCTTTGACCAGTGGTTTATTCATGTGGCCATACATCCTCCTCCCTGTCGTACCTGTGGCCCAATCATTCATCCACTTTTCCTTGAGGTTTGACTTGATCATTTGGCAGCAGGTGGTGTAATTCGTAGGAATTTCAGGCTGAGGGAGACTAGCTCCTTTCTTTGCCAGAGCATCAGCTCTTTCATTTCCCGGTATCCCAGTGTGGGCAGGAATCCATTGTAGGACTACTCTGACGTGGTGGTTCTATAAAATAATCTCACAGCTACACACCAGCAGGTCAAATGTTCGAAAGGGTTTTGAAGTCCACATTCCTTTATCTTGTCAACCAAGCTCACAACAAACCACACACTCCTCCAAAACAGATCAAATTAAAATATTTATAGTCAATTATAGATGTTTATTTTGATCTTAAATGAAGCAGAAGACATCAAACTTTCAATGTATAAAAAAATTCATGGAAAGTAACAAGCCTTTCCAGCCTTGTAGCTTCAAATAGCACATTATGATTGTGTCTTACAACCAATTTTGACCGGGGCTGACAAATATTACGGAGAGCTCAGGGAAGTTTTGTGCTCTGTTTGACAATTATAGAATACTATAAATAATTTCTGATTTTAACTGCATGGTTATGTAATAAATTGAGTAATCTGTTGATAAATCTTGGGATTCAAGCATTTTTTCTTCCTATGTAAGCTGTTTGAGTGTTATTTGGCGGATTGTGAGTATTTTTGTGTTGTATTCGTGTACTTTCAGCGATTTACAGAGAGATTTCAGTAAGCTGTCTCATTTAGTGAGAAAAAGGGGAAGTTAACTAACTATATCTATCATATGTCACGTTTTAGAACACTTCATATTTGGCCATTTTGGGAAATGCTGGTCACCCAAATTATGAAACCCCCTTTGAGCTACTGATTTGGCCTCAAGAAGACCCCCCCCCCCCCCCACCAAAATAAAACCTTAACAAAAAAAACAACTTACTTCGTGGGTCTCAGCTGATCTGTCGAGGTGTAACCCAAACCATTGAGTATCATGGCAGCCTTAGCGGGAGCTTTGTCAGCCTCCATAGCCTCCAGCTCTTTGTAGACTTCATGAAGCCGAGAGGACAGACTGTTGTCTTGTCCAGCACTGGAAAAAGAAAGGAGAAAAACGATTAATAAAACTTTTTAAAAGCCAAGAGTTCTGCACAATAGTACAATTTCTTTTTGTTCAACTTTTCACGAAGTCAGTCTGGATGATACTGGAACCTAAATAGAATTTGGAAAAAAATTAACAAACTCCTCCCAGGGATTCCATTTTCAGGTAAATATTTTCAGTTTGGATGGAAAATAAGAGAGGAGTGTAACCTACAGAACTATCAACTTTTTATTTTACGTAACATTAAAATTTTAGTCAAGCAATAGATTTATCACTTTTCTGGCATATGCATAATTTAAGCCAAACTAAAATACAATGAGAAATAATGGTCAAAAATTCAAGTTAAAGAGAGATGCTTTAAATTTTAAAATGTCAGATATTGCTGGGAATAAAAGAGAGCAACCAGGTAGTAAAATATACTAAACGGAAGGTGGAGAAGTAGGATTCACCAGTGACACCCTCCAGTTTCCCACATACGTATCAACTGAAAGAAACTAACAACAAAGCTTAATTGTGACATAAAATAATGAAACACTCTTGTTATATAATTTATGCCATCCAATTACACAGTTTACTCCAAGAACAATCCATGCAAAATTTCAAAATCTTGCTTAATTTAAACATCATATTAATGAGTTGCAATGACAGTTCCACAATTTGGGAACCATTTTATTAAAGGTTTGAATTAGGTAATAGCCGCATATATAAGAATGAAAACTAGTCCAAGGAGCAATTTTAATATCAGGTGAAATCTAACTCGATTAGGGACAAAGAACATACTATAAGACAGGGCATTTGATCTTACAGATCACAACAATGCGAGGAAGTACATCTGAAAGAATTTGACAAATTTGAATCCTTTAACGATTTCACCTTCTGACAGAAGAGATCAAGACTGTGGCCAAAACAAGATGACATAACAGCTGCATCAGACAAGAGTGAGTGCACCCTCCGCCTTCCACTCTCTCTCACACACATACTTCCTCTCCTGTTCTCATATTTATAGCCCCCTCTTTCTCACACACAAACTCCCTCACTCTCTCACACACACACTCCCTCTCTTGTTCTCGCATGCACACACACACACACACACACACACACTCTCTCTCACACATACAGAGTCCCTCTCTTTAACACATACAATTCCTTTCTCCTTCTCACAAACACAACTCCCTCTCTTGTTCTTACACACACACTCTCATACACACATTAATTCCCTCTCTCTCTGTCACAAACTCTCTCTCTCTCTCTCTCTCTCTCTTTTACACACACACTCCCTGTCTTGTTCACACACATGACACTCCCTCTCTCACACACGCACACTCCACACATTATGCATTCTATCTCTTTCTCACTCACACATACACACAAACCGATGACATACCTGGAGGAGGACAGCTGAGCATTAAGGTCTTTCTCCTCCTGCAATAGTTTCTCTCTCTTCTCATCACACTGCAGTACACTCTGAATGGCTGGGGTCTCATCCCCCTCCACCTCCTGTTCTACATGCAGAACTGATATATGAGATGGGATCCTCAGTTCTCCACTGAAATAAGTATGTTCTTTCTATTTAGATGACAAGGAAACAACAAACGTCACTCCAGTAATTTAAAAAAATACCCCCCCCCCCACAAAAAAAAAGAAAAAAGGAAAAAGAAAAAAATAATATTCCAACAACAAAAAAGCCACGGAAAATCCCATTTGTTTTTTTATTTTAGAACCTACGCTTCCTGTCCAGTGGTCTATAGATACGACCTGATAGCTAAAATGATAACCTTTGAAGGGAGGTCACTCTCTTTATTTAAAACTTCATTGAAGCTGAAATATCAACGAAATGAGACACAGTTTTGGGCCACCGTACGAGATATGTTTACAGTGCACTGGGCAGTGGATTATCAAGACATATGAGATACGTTTACAACACAGGGGTTAACCTTTTCGCATCGTGTGGCTTTCATGGTGCACATTCCCTAAGAACATCATTATGTTATGAGCGCTATTCCCTGGAAATGCTAAATTTTTGGGCATTTAAAAAAAATTATAACTCATCAGTTTTAAATCGTAGATGTTTGTATTTGGTGTCAAAGTATAGTTCAAATCTTTGCAAACACCAGCATAATTTTTAGGACCACACTCACTTCCTTTGACGAAAGTTGTCAGCAATACAAAGCTTATGAGGTAGAAAAAAGAAAAAGTTTTCCAAAAAAATTTTACATCCCGATACACACACAAAACAGTTTATGGAGTTTCTTCAACGATCTTGACGCCTGGTTAGACAGGTGTGATCCATAATCAATATAATGTAACTGAAAATTCAACCGAATAAGATTGAAAATGTGCTGTTGTGAGCAGCTTTATGAACAGCTCAATATACTCAAGAAAGGGGGCTCTCTTGGCCCAGAGGGGTGTGTAGCGACTGAAAAATTTTCTTCTCTATAATTGTCTCCTTTCATGTTCTCTAGCAATGTTCTATCGTCTGCTTTCGTCTCCACCCCCTCAACTCCTTTGCCCCCTCCTCTGGGCTCCTGACTCTTTCTGCAGCCTTTCTGCTGCTACTCCTTGGCTCCTTCTTACTGCTGTCTTTCAGCCATACCCCTGATCTTCCGGTAGGAAAGATCTACACCTAACCTTCTCAGACAAGGACAAAAAATCTCGGAGGTCCCATGTGCAAGGTGCCCACGTTAAAGAACCCTTGGTGGTCTAAAATCGATAAGAGTAGGCTTCGGCCGCCACCCGAGCAAAATTTAAAATTTCCTACCAACTCGAAACGTTTAATGTGTCCTGTGCACTCATATGACCTTACGCAGTTGGGAGCGCCATAAAACACTTACAAAAAAAAAAAAAGAATACTCAAGAACCGGTAGAGTCAGCTGCCTCTTTCAGTTCAGTTTTGAGTTGTACACCCCAAAACAGCCAGGGCAGAGAGCAACATTGCAGTTTGAGCCCAGCTCTGCACGCCTTTCCGGTACATATTTTCCACTGCCGCCTGTATCCGGTGGTGTTGTCTTCATCTTACTGACACTCTTTGAGAACATGCCTCTCTCATAGTCAGAAATATTACAAACTAACAGTGTCAGATTTACTGGACTCCATGACCGTATCCACCAGTTTGAGGACCAGTTTCTTGACAAAATCGGCCCTTTGCTACTGCTGCTTTTAGGATGTTTTCTCACAAATAAGTCTAGGCGCTACCAAGTGGTTCCAACTCTTTATCAACTTGCTCCAAAGAGAAATGCAACAGGGGTTCCCGTGGTCTAGAGGTAAGGTCTTCGCCTCTCATTTAATATGTCCAGCGATCAAAATCTGCCTGCGGTAGTAAATGTTCTTCTCTAACCAAATTTTCTTTTAACTTTCTTTCTTGTTCTCTAATCAGGGTTGGTGATTTAAAAAAAATTTGTTAATAAAAATTTTTAAAAATCGATTCTTTTATTTAATCAGATTTTTAAAAAAATTTTTTAATTTAAAAAAAATGTCGACACAGTTTGGGATTTTTGGTTGCTAAAAGTATGTTCTATTAGCGCAAAATGCATTGTCTTTATTTTAACTAATGATTAATTTAAGCAACTGCAAAAGAAAGCCTTAATCTGCTATATCAGTGAATTATGGCTACAGACAAAAAATGAAGAAAATGTCAGTCTAAAAGGAAGGGGGGGGGGGGTTATTATGCATAGATAAACTTGCATTTTATTACAGTGTGTGTGTGTTGATATGTGTACATTGTTCGTGTTTCATACCATTTCTGATGAATGTTTTTGTAACCACTGAGTTCAGCACGAGATTAAAGAACTGGTGAGCCAGTAGGCCATTCCCTACTCAGCCGGCAAACGTGCAAGTCGAGTTTGTTCTTCTTTGTGTGCATGTTGAACCAAACGGCATACCATACTGTATCATACACGCTTACAAACATGGTGGCAGCGGTAAAAGCTCCATAAAAGTGAGACTCTAGTCCTGAAAATGTCTGGTAAGAAGTTTCCATACATATTTTTATATCTTGTAAGAACATGTCTCGAAAATTCAGTTGTTATATATATTCTACGAAGCCTATATTCTATCTAGAGTCTAGAGATCGGATCTGATCAGAAGTTTGGCCATGAGGCTAGCCAAGGAAAATAGTTTTTGTAGAAAATAACAAAACTGTAAGTCAAGTATTTTTCCCCTTGCAACAATTATTTTGCACTGAGAAGACTACGACCCAGATAGTGTCAATTTCTGCCCGATTTATCTGCAACCTGGACGAACATGGCTGAGGCTAATTTTAATTTTCGCCTTCCCTCACCACTCCAAATGAGTGAAGATAATTTAGCAGATCATTTTAGAAAATGGAAGAGACAGCTAGATGTTTATATGGAAGCCTCGGGGAACACCAGCAAGCCAGCTAAAACCCAGACAGCCATAATTCTGCACTGTGCAGGCCCAGAAGCCCTAGAAGTTTTTGATCAGTTTGAATTTGATAATCCTGAAGATAAGGATGACCTGCAACAAGTACTACTTAAATTGCAGCAGTATTGCAACCCAAGAAGTAACGAGGTTCTGCAAAGAGATAGATTTTGGAACTTGCCTATATCAATGCCTTTCGACAAGTTTTCAACTGAATTGAAAGCTCAGGCTGAGAAATGCAACTTTCAAGAGAAAGACAAGATGATCAGAGACAAAATTATTTTAAGTGTTCCTCAACATCTCAAGGAAAAGTTGTTGAGAGAACCTGATATCACTTTAAAGAAGACAATCGACATTTGCCAGGCATACGAGCAGACTGCAAACTACCTGAGAGAAATGAAAGGTGAACAGGAAATTGATAAGGTCTACAAGGGCAAGAAGCCATCATTTAAACCTAGTGGAGGACCATCAAGAAAGAAGGATGGAAGACCTACCACAAGTACCGCCAGCAAAGATGCTGAATGCAGATTCTGCGGGAAACACCATGAGTTCAACAAAGCCAAATGCCCAGCCTGGGGGAAAACTTGTAGTAATTGTGGAGGAAGAAATCACTTTAGGATAAAATGCAAGAAAATACACTCACTTGTAGAAACAGATGACGAAGCATGGCTAAATGCTGTTGGTGACGGAAAAAGAAGGGCCACAGAATGTTTGAAAATTAACGACTGCAAGGTCAGATTCAAGCTGGATACGGCCGCAGACGTCAATACAATACAACAAAGATTTGTTAGAAAAAATCAAGTAACAAGAACCAGTCATACACTCGTCATGTGGAACGGCACTAAGATGGCACCTTTAGGAGAAACAAGATTGTTAGTTACCAATGAGAAGACAGGACAGACGCTCACAGTGAAATTTAGTTGTCAAAAACAATCTAAACTGTCTACTTGGTCTAACAACATGTCAAGATTTGGGATTAGTCACCATCAATCATGACAAGTTCATCGCAAAGGTAGAAGAGGAACCAGGTCATCTGGGAATAGCGAACCTGAAGACAGACCCGGAGATAAGACCACAAGTTCTGCCTTGCAGAAAGATACCATTTGCCCTAGTAAAATAGGTCAAAGAAGAGTTGGACTCTCTCATACAAAGAGGAATCTTGGAACCCATGACAGAACCGACAGATTGGGAGAGTCAAATGGCCATCGTGGAGAAAGAAAATGGATCTCTACGAATATGCATTGATCCCCATCCTTTGAATAAAGCTCTTAAAAGGGAACACTATAAACTCCCTGCTTTCGATGATGTCTTACCAAAATTTAGAGATGCCAAGATGTTCACAAAGTTGGATGTAAAGGAAGCATTTTGGCACATCAAACTGGATGAAGAGTCGAGCAAGCTCACCACGATGATCACACCATTTGGTCGAGTGAGATGGACAAGACTACCATTTGGACTGAACGTGTCAAGCCAAATATTCCAGAGATATCTTGCAACTGCACTCGAAGACCTACTCGGTATAGTGAATGTCGCTGATGACATCCTCGTGATCGGAAACGGCCTCACAAAAGAGAAAGCACAAAAAGACCATGATAGGAAATATGACCTTCTCAAGGAAAGATGTAAAGAAAAATGCATCAAACTCAACCAAGAAAAAGCCAGAGAAAGACAGGAAGAAGTTAGATTTATGGGTCACAAGATAGGCAAAAGAGGAATAGAACCTGATGCTCGCAAAGTAGAAGCCATCATAAAGATGCCAACCCCAAAAGATGTTCACGACGTGAGAAGATTTTGTGGAATGGTTCAATACCTAGCCAAATTCCTCGAAAAGCTGTCAGTCAGATTACAGCCTCTCAGAGATCTGACAAGAAAAGACACACCGTTCGTCTGGTCCAAAGAATGTCAGACAGCTTTCTCCGAAATCAAAGAAATGATAGCGACGACACCAGTCTTACAATTTTATGATCCAAACAAGCCTTTAGAGGTGCAAGTGGACAGCAGCATAGACGGTTTAGGCGCATGCCTGATGCAGGAGGGTCAGCCGATTGAATTTGTTTCCAGAACGCTGTCAGAAACCGAGCAGAGATGGGCACAGATAGAGAAAGAGATGATAGCCGTCGTATTTGGTCTTGAGAGATTCGACCAATACACCTTTGGGCGGAAAGTTCATGTGACAACAGATCACAAGCCCCTGGAAAATATAACAAGAAAGCCATTGAGTGAAGCTCCGAAGCGACTCCAACGACTCATTATGAGAAGCAACCGCTATGATTTCGATTTGACATGGGCGAGAGGAAGCTCACTACTAATTGCAGATACGTTATCGCGAGCAGTCGTCTGCAATATGATATCATTTCATCAGAGAACGAAACGGAAGTTCAAGCAAAGAGCAACATACCAGATGCAATGATAGAGAAACTGAGGACAGAAACGTCGAAAGATGAAGACATGCAAACCCTGGCAGAAACAATCAGAACTGGGTGGCCACATAGCAAATCTGAACTACCACTGTCAGCCAGACCATTTTTTGACTACAGGGAAACTATGAGTATTGAGAATGGGCTGATTACAAAAGGAGAAAAAGTCCTTGTACCAAGGTCAATGAGAGAGGAGATAAAGAGAAGACTACATGCAGCTCACCTAGCAACAGAGAGTATGCTGAGGAGGGCGAGGCGGACTGTTTTCTGGCCAGGTATGACTGCTGAAATAAAACAAATGGCTGACAGGTGTGAAGTTTGTCAGCAGAGCAAGCCAAGAAACCAGAGAGAAACACTGATTCAACACAGTATTGGAAGAGCACTATGGGAAAAGCTTGGATCAGACATTTTTTAAATAAAAGGTAGACAGTAACTTATTCTGGTAGACTATTTTTCAAATTTCATTGAGGTCGACTATTTGCCAACATCGACATCTGAAACAGTAATTACCAAAATGAAGTCACAGTTTGCTAGATATGGAGTGCCAAAAATGCTTGTCACTGACTGTGGGTCACAGTATACAGCTTCAACGTTCAAACAGTTCACACAACACTGGGGTATCACTCATGTTCGATCATCTCCAGGCCATCACCAAGCCAATGGAAAAGCTGAATCGGCGGTAAAAATAATAAAAACCATGATGAAACGCAGTGTGCTGAATCACGAAGATCAATATGAAGCACTGTTAGAACTTAAAAACACCCCAAGACAAGATGGGACGACTCCAACCCAGATGACGTTTCAGAGAGAAATACGAACGCCCTTGCCTCAAATGAGAAAGGAAAATTATGTTCCAGAAAATTATTTAGCTTGCAGGATGAAAGTCAAGAGACAATTTGACAGAAAGGCCAGAGATATGAATCCCCTGCAAAAGCGTCAAACTATTTATTACCAAAACCCTGATAAACCCTGTTGGAACGCAGGCAGAATTAAAGAAAAGATCAACAACATCTTATAGAATAGAAGGAGAAACAGGCGGCACCCCAGTCAGGAATAGGGTGCATTTGAGACCAAAATCAACACCTTTCCACGAAAGGAAGGATGAGCCTGACGACGTCATGGTGACCCCAGCAGAAAGTCCTGCAGTAAAAGACCACAGTTTGCAAAGACGACACAACACTACCGTTGATCGGCCTGATCAAGAAGTGTCAGCTCCTGACGGGTCGAGCAGAAGCAGTCAGACTGTCGATCCCGTTGAATCTACAAGTCAACAACCAACGACTTCACAGCCCACAAGCTTGAAGTCAAACCTGACTCCCTGTCCAAGTCATAACAAAGCACAAAACAAACACTACATAACCAGAAGTGGCCGCATTGTCAAACCCAACCCAAAATACACATGAAGTTGAGATCATCGATTGCACCATTTGAATAGATCTATGGCCTGTTTTTGATTAAGATTGTGATACGGACAATTGTGTTAGTGTGCAACATGCGGTCCACAACATCAAAACAAAGCAGAACACATTGTCTACACAACTGAACTTGAGTCACATATGCACAGACACTAGACACCGATCAGATCAGTAGAGTTCTGTTAAGAAATCAGTCATACTCTTTAAAAGACAATTTTCCATACTCATCACCGCTGAGAACTGACGAGCAGACGACCGGACCCGAAGAAGTTATTGAAAAGGCTTTTGACAAGAAAATTAACAGAAAGTTTTGATTTGTGTTATTAGAATATAAATGTTAATGGACTATCACCTTTTAGTATAATCGGATACAATGTGGAGAAATCGCTGTTTGATTTAAAAGATTTACAGTTTATGTCGAATCAGTATTAATTTCTTGGGAATGGGATTCGTGAGATATATATTATGCTTTCTATTTTGTGTCAGTAACGCTCGAATGATATTAGTAGTAGAATTACTTATAATTTAACATGGTAATATAGAATATCTCTAATGAAGGGTTTTGAACTAATTGACCAATAAGATGTTGAAATGTTACGTTTAAGGAATGCACATAATGCAACTTGCTAAAGAAGGGGGGATGTTGATATGTGTACATTGTTCGTGTTTCGTACCATTTCCGATGAATGTTTTTGTAACCACTGAGTTCAGCACGAGATTAAAGAACTGGTGAGCCAGTGGGCCATTCCTTACTCAGCCGGCAAACGTGCAAGTCGAGTCTGTTCTTCTTTGTGTGCATGTTGAACCAAACGGCATACCATACAAGCTTACAAACAGTGTGTGTGTGTGTGTGTGCGTGCACGCTCTTGTGTTTGTCTAAAAAGAAAAAGAATATGGTAATTTCAATTATGAAAAAAAAAGTAAATTGGATACTGTATTACTTTACAGTGACAGGGGGAAAGCAGACTTTTAAGCATGATTATATTAGTCTACTAAACCTTATATCTGTTTTATAAAACCAAGGAAAGGAATTCTGATTGTTTAAATATGTAAAAACTGAATACATTTTTTTAAAAAATGATTTAAATCACTGATTAAAAAATCAACTGATTTAAATCAACCCAACCCTGATTTCAATTATGAAAAAAAAAGTAAATTGAATACTGCATTATTTTACAGTGACAAGGGGGAAAGCAGTATCCAAAAATCAAGTTGATTAAAATATAAAAAAATCAACTGATTTAAATCAACCCAGCTCTGATTTCAATTACGGAAAAAAAAGAAGTAAATTGAATACTGTATTTATTTTACAGTGAAAGGAGGGAAAGCAGACTTTTAAGCATGATTATATTAGATCTAGTCTACTAAACCTTATATCTCTGTTTTATGAAACCAAGGAAAGGAATTCTGAAAGTTGAAATATGTAAAAACTGAATAAAAATAATTTTAAAAAAAAGTGATTTAAGTCACTGATTTTTATTTAAAAAATCAAGTTGATTTGAATAAAAAAAATCAACTGATTTAAATCGACCTGATTTAAATCAACCCAACCTTGTCTCTAATCAAGTTCAGTTGTCTGCTTTGGTCTCCACTTTCTGCCCCATCCCCCACCACACCCTTTTGCCCCCTCCTCTGGGCTCCTGACTCTTACTGCTGTTTTTCTACTGCTTCTTCTTGGCTCCTTCTTACTGTTGTCTTTCAGCTACACCCCTAATCTCAGGGTAGGTAAGATTGAACACCAGCCTTCTCAGATAAGGACGAAAAAATCTTGGAGGTCCAGTGAGCAGGTTGCGCATGTTAAAGATCAACTGATGGTCCTAAAATCGATAAGAGCAGGCTCTGGCCGCCACCCGAGCAAGATTCAAAATCAATTCCTACCAAACTGAAAATGTGTCCAGCGGGCCCATATGACCTTGTGCAGTTTCCAGCGCCATAAAACACTTACCCCCCAAAAAAGGAAGGAAAAGTCTGAAACTAGCTCACCTGAATTGTCTACGCCGGACATGTTTTGATAAAGTGAATAACAAAAGGGGGTTTCTCCTCTCTTTGAAACCAGCTTTACGTTTCTTAAAGTTCAGACGTTTGAACAGTCGAAAGAGTGACAACGCTTTCTCTCTCTCTCTCTCCTGACAGTAGGGGTGTTATGGTCAGGCTCTTTGCTATTTCCCGTAAAGAGACAGAGTTAGATTCCTGAATGTTGATCCACCTGAACACAATTTGCCAATGCTTTCTTCTACCGTCAAAATTGATAATTATTGTTTTTCTGTTTTCCTTCAAACAACTCCATGGGCTTGTCAATCCAGTTTTTCCTGCATGTTCCTGACATTTGTGTTTTCTTTGGTATAGCTTCTCCCTGACCATTAAACCAAACATAAGCTTAATGAAGAATTTCAAACCACAGCAAAGAAAAGGCATCGGGAATGGTAATGTCACATAACAAGTCTGGTCTTGAAAAGACTATTTTTCAAGAAGCAGTATAGAAGAGGCAACAATAGCTTGGGGCAATGGTTCATGAAAAAACAAAAGCCCTGTAAAGCTTATTGCTGATCGACTTGACTAATATAAACTTTTTTATTATGATTACTTTGTAAGCCACAATGACTTAGACTTCAATAGTAATTTCCAACTGGTGGGAATAGCAGTGACGATACTGACAACGGGGATGAAACTGACCAGATTTTCAATGGGCATCGTGCTCTATCAGGGGTAGTAGATGAATCATCCATTAGATATAACCTGCCCCCAAAGTCTAGACCTAGTACTAGCAATGTCTACAAAGCTGGTACAACTGCTAGTACAAGATTTATTATAAGGATAAAATTAGGAGCTAATTGCAGGTCTAGGTCTACTGTCAGTGGAGATCTGGGTTGTGGCTGACTAGCATTTCGTGTATTTCAATTACTCCAAATTTTTTTTAACAAGGTCTGTCCTGGAATTCCAACGTTTGAGGTATTATTACAAAGGCAATTTACATATAAACATTTCTGTTGAGTATCAGTCTGTATTTCATGGGTAATAGTGACTGCAAGCAGGATAAAACTCATCTCACCACCATGTCCCCCTTTTTGTCACTCATGCTTGCACAATTGAGAAATGCTTCTTAAATAAAATTGTAAATATATACGGCTACTGAATTACAGATATAAGAAAAAAAACATGATCTTCTCCCCCCCCCCCCCCCCCCCAATATGCATCCCTTAATATTACAGCTACTCTGTCATACTTCACACATACTTACCTTGATATCATTTTCAATAATGTGGTCTTTCCAAGACCATTTCGACCAGTAAAGCCATAGCGACGACCCCACACCAAGTGCAGATCCGCACCTTGTAGCAAAACTCTAAATAGAAGAAAAATATAAATAAATTAAAGTAGAAAAGATGTAAGGGAGTGCTTATTTAGGCCACATATGGCCTAAATAAGGTAAGGGAGGGGGGGGGGTTAGCTTATTTAGGCCACACATGCTCAAACTACCCTTTTCAGGCAACTGAGTTTGTTCCACTTTCATAATGGTGCACCTTTCTCATTTAGTACAGTTTTGTCTCAGTGTACAACTTATAAATCATAATCATAATGAATATTATAAGAACAAAGCACAATACGCAAAGTTTTGCTCAATCCTAATGGTTTGAATGAGGGCCAGATTTTTCCTTCATGAAGGAGCAAAAGCTAGGCTACCATTTTGGCACACTTTGGTCAAGTGAAAAGGTCAAATTCTCCGAATAGACTTACAGGTCGAATTTGGGGTATAAAAAGTGTGTACACAACGTGGCTGAGTCAAAGTTACACTATCTTTGCCTGAATGGCACTCTCTCGAACTGTCTCGTAGTAGTACATGTAGTAATAGTAGTAGCAAAGATCGTGTAGAGAATCTTTGGTAGTAGATTCTATCTAGTAGGCAGTTTAGTGAACGTGCACGCGGCAGGGCGTTTCGCCACGATAAGCCCCGTAGACTTTTGCGATCGGCCACGAAGCCTCGTGTTTTGATGGGTCTAAACAGCTCAGTGTTAATCGCACTGCCACATCCGACAAGCCTACATCTTTTTAAAAGGAAAAGAAAGATCATCAAAATGGTTGAATTCGCGTGAAAATCGATTCGGTAGAACTGGAACTATTAAAATTTGCTTCTGAAAACAAGGCAATTTTTATAACTCGATGAAATAAAAACTACTGGCTGTGTTATTTTGTATAAATTATGAAACTTCAGGACGTATTATTATTTTCCAACATCTTTTGACGCCTGAGCTGTAGAGGTTGAAGTTTTCACAACCCTAATAGATCTAGTAATAGGGCTTTCCGTAAAAAATGCATAGATTTACAAAAGCTGAACCACCGAATCGACCGGTCAGCCACCCGGGCACCCAGCTCTCCCCTGCACACTGTAATAACGTGTTGCTTCTGTATCGCATTATTCAACTATTAAAACGTGCGGCTATGGCAATTGGGATGAACTGACTGACAAAACAATTCACAGTTTTGTTTTTATTTTACCATATATTTGACTTTAATAGTGCAGGTATATAGATCTAGATTCCCTGTCTAGAATCAGTAGTAGCAGGCCTATGCTAGAAGCAGCCAGAGAGCCTACAACTGCCAGATCTAGATCTAACGTATTGCTATGCCTTTGGGCTTTGGAATTGAAATAAAACAAATTGCACAGTTCTAGTTAATTTTAGATAATAATAATAATAAATAGCATTTATACTGCGCATTTCCATTTCCTAAAAGATGCTCAATGCGCATTACAATGAAAAAGACATCACAACTTAAAATTAATCGACACAAATGTGTACGTAAAACAAAGTATTATACATATAATATAAATGCATATGTGTAAAATTTTATACCAGAAAAACAGTCTCGCAGTGAGGTTGAAAATGTGTTCACTAAAAATATACAATGCAATAAAAATTCACGAACAGTCAAAATAAAGTTCAAACGCGAGTAACTAGAAACATTCATTAAAACATTAATTCTATACAGATAGAAAAACATTTCCGTTCTCTCTCTCTCTCTCTCTCTGCCTCTCTTTTCTCTCTCTATCTCTCTCTTTTTCTCTCTCTCATTCTCACTCATAAAAAATGCTTCAGCTGATTTTTTAAAATGGAAATTGTTGGGGCAGATCTTATTTTATATGGGAGTTCGTTCCTTACCTGGGGACCAAAGAACAAAAAGGAACGCTCGCCGTATGTTTTGTAATTTTGTTTTGGAGTTTTAAGAATTAGATTGTCAGAGGCTGATCTAAGGGCTCTAGGTGGATGATATAATTCCAGGAATGTTTTAAGATAAAAAGGTGCACTATCATTTATATATTTAAACAGAGAATGGCAGTTTTGTATTTAATCCTTTCTTTTATTGGCAGCCAGTGTAGTTCTTTCAGAATTGGTGTTACGTGCGCTGATTTCTTTTGTTTCATTATCAATTTTGCTGCTTGATTTTGGAGTACTTGTAACTTTGATAGTTTTTCGGATGTCAAACCGGACAAAATAACATTTACAGTAATCTAACTTTGATAAAAATGAGTGTTGTTACAAGTGTCTTGGCTGCTGCTTTAGTTAAATAATTTCTGACACTGCCAATTTTCTTAAGCTGAAAGTAAATACTTTTGCTGATCTGGCTTATTTGGGAGGACATAGACATATCATAATCCAACTGAACCCCTAGATTTTTAAGACTTCTTTTTGAACGAATGGTATGGTTATTAATATCAATTTGTAGCTCTGGGAGATTTTTAATGGCTTTTGTATTTCCACTCAACATTATTTCCGTCTTGTCATCATTTAGTTTCAATTTATTGCTGGTCATCCATATTTTAAAATCTCTAGTAAATTGTTCAGTAGAGTCGACTAAAAGTGGTATTTGATCGAAATCAGTAGACTTATAAATTTGAGTGTCATCAGCATAAAGATGATAATTCATGCCATATTGTCTTAAAATATCAGCAATAGGTTGTGTATACATTGTAAACAAGACAGGTCCAAGAACAGACCCCTGAGGAACACCACATCTTAGCAAAACATTATTAGAACACGTGCTTCCAACCACAACTGCTTGTGTTCGATCCTTAAAATATGACTCAAACCATCGCAGGACAGTACCCTTTATGCCAAAAGTAGCATTTAATCTCTCGAGTAAAATGTCATGATCAATGGTATCGAATGCAGCCGAAAGGTCCAAAAGAGTAAGAAGACATACCTTTTTTTCATCAATATATTTTAAAATATCAGTACAGACCCCAAGTAACGCTGTCTCGGTACTATGGTGTGCCTTATATGCTGACTGATAGACTTCGCTAAGATTATTTGCTTTAATATGATGTAACAGTCTATTAGATACAACTTTTTCCAGAATTTTGGAAAGGAAAGAAAGATTTGAAACTGGTCTAAAAATTTTTAAGTCCTTTTCAACAAGTCCAGATTTTTTCAAAAGGGGTCTAATATGTGCTGTCTTAAAGCAATTTGGTACTGTGCCTGTGAGGAGAGAATCATTTACAATTTGGGTGATATGTGGAAGAAGTTCATGCAAACATTTTTTTAAAAGGCTGGTGGGCATGGGGTCTAAGGCGCAACTTATTGATGGACTATCTAATATGATCTTTTTGATTTCTTCTTCTGTTGCTGGAGTAAAATGACTAGCCCCTTAAAATGATGGTAATTTGGGGCAATTGCGCACATTTTATCGAGCTCTTGCCTGAAGGAGGTGATTTTTTAAGAAAAAAAGTCTGAAAAACTACTACAAAAATCTCTATCGGTGCCAGGGGGTAATATTGTTCTGTTTTGGTTGCCAAGCACTTCACTAGAGACATCAAAAAGTTCCTTACAAGTTTTAACATTTTCAAATTTTGACAAAAAGAAAGTACGCTTGGCCTTGGTAATCATTTTAGATTCAGCAACTAACTGTATTTCCAGAGTTAATAATAACAAATCTCACCATAACAATCACTTTTACTTCTATTAAAATAATTAGATCCAACTTTTTTTCTAAAATCTGTTTTGCGCAAACTTAAGATTTTCTCTACTTGTAGAGCACAGAATTTACATTGTAAGCCTCAGCTTAGTGTTTTAGTGTACATAATAAAATACACACATATATATAGATCTATATAATCATTTTATGTTATTTTCTGGATATTTTTAAAACTCTTTGTTTTTAACATGTCATAAACAAATTGTGCCATTTTCTTTGATAAGAATAGCATTAGCAGTGGACTTTTTAGACAGCGAGTCTCTGATTCAATATTTTTTTTTAAATATGCTAATCAATGAAAATTGCAAATTGATAATAGTATTGTCCTGTAGAGGATAGGTGGACTCCGGGGTTTGCATAGCGAAATACTAGGTTTTAGGATGTGAACCCCGGAGTCACTGTAGTGAAATAAGGTTTGGTTTCCATTTAAAAGTAAGGATTGGTAGACCCCCGGGTTCAACGTAGTGAAAAATAAGCAGGTTTAAGGTGGACCCTGGGGCCCGGGGTCTACCTAGCAAAATACTAGGTTTTAGAACAGGTGGGCCCCGGGGTCACCATAGTGAAATAAGTAGGTTTCTTTAAAGATGGGTGGACCCCGGGGTCATCGTAGTGAAATAAGTAGGTTTAATTTTAAAAGGATTGGTGGACCCCAGAGTCACCATAGCCGTAGAGGAATAAGAAGGTTTAATTAAGGATTGGTGGACCCCCGGGACACCTTGATTAAACCTATTTATTTTACTACGGTGACCGCAGGGTCCACCTATTCTAAAACCTAACTAGTATTTCGTTAGGTAGACCCTGCGGTCCACCTTAAACCTATCTATTTCACTACGTTGACTCCAGGGTCCACCAATCCTTAAAATTAAACCTAGATCTACATGTACTTATTTCACTACGTTGACCCCAGGGTCCACAAATCCTTAATTAAACCTAGATCTACTGATTTCACTACGTTGACCCCGGGGTCCACCAATCCTTAAAATTAAACCTAGATCTACTTATAATTTCACTACGTTGACCACGGGCTCCACCAGTCCTACTATAAAATAAACTGAGATCTACTTATTTCACTATGTTGACCCCGGGGTCCACCGATCCTTAGTTAAACCTAGATCTACTTATTTCACTACGCTGACTCCGGGGTTCACATCCTAAAACCTAGCATTTTGTTAGGTAAACCCCGTGGTCCACCTATCCTTTTGGCTAGATAGACCCCGTGGTCCGCCTATCCACTTCCTTGATAATAACTGAAAACAATACATGCCAGTTGTCATGAATAGTGAAGAAAAATGTGAAAAATAAAGATAACGAGGTAGACTATAATTTGTCAAAAAAATTGCAAGTGCAAGTGAAGATCATAAGATAATTTTGTTA